CAGGAACCCCATCCTCTGGTTGTGGCCTCTGCAGACAGATACAGCGGCTGCATGAAGCACTAGCCGATAGTTAACTAATAATAAGATTACTGTTGTGTAGTTCCTGGCTGTGGAAAAACAGCCTCTGTCTCTGTGGGTTCAACATGTGTGGGAGCACAGACACTGTTGTATCACAACCTGATGTATCAAATATGATACCCAACAAAAACATATATGCAAATGTTTTGCATTTTTAAAAAACATTTTGTCTAAATGTTCAAAAAAAAAAAAAAAAAAAAAAAAAAAAAAAAAAAAAAAAGATTTTACTTTTGTTAAAAGTTCCATAGGCATTTGATTTAGAAAAAAAAATATGCTGTTAAGAAGTTGTTTCTTTATCATTTATTGATAAACCATAGTCTGACACCTTAACACCTTTGATACTGCCCTTATTCTGACTGTCCACTTTATTCTGATGTCTTTTCAAATTGGACAGATAAAATGAAGTTAATGATTAATGCCTTTAATCGTACTTCTCCTCATAATGTTAACTTTGGCAGCATTATTAAAGAAAGAAATGCTTACTGGCACATCAAGCTCACTCCAGTTAATGATCTCAGGATTAAAATCTGACTGATTCCATGCCTGTACCATCTCTGTGATATTGGATGGAGGTGAACACTGACATCTAAGAAAAAAAAAAACATTTAACATATAATATAATAAACATACTGTATAACATAAAACAATAAACAACAAGGTAAATATTTCCTTACGTGTAAAACGTGAGGTTGTCCAAATTGTCGTGCATGTTGAAAGGGAACATCTCTCCCAGCTGGAAGAGTTTCTCCAAGGCCTCATAGATGAAAATGATGCAGATGAGAGCAGCGAAGGCTTCCTCTGTGAACCTTGTTATATAGCACACTAGAGAGCTGGAGTCTGTGGCAACCAACACAATGCACAAGAAGGCTGTCCACAGGCCAATGCTAGTGCGCAGAGGGAGGTAGGACAGACCGTACTCACTGAGGAGAGACAAACAGATGTTATATATCACTATCTGGATAAAAGCATCTGCTAAATGAAGAAACAAATGTCTTCTGTGGGATTCATATAATCAGCAAAGTGTTTCTGTATAGAGAAGGGATAAAAGGACTTTTGAAACCAAGCAATTATGCATTTTTATTTATGTATTGCTGCACAAAAACATACAGACACTGATGGTTTTGGATAACAGCACAGTAGGATCAAAATGAGGCTATGCTGAACTTAAAATGTGTGTTGTATTCTCCAGAGTGCTCCACCAACTCTTTCCTGTACCAGTAGATGGCACTATGGTACTTATAGTTTGAAAATCAACCTTTCACAAGAGGAAGCAATCAGAATTGTATTTACCTTTTTAAATTATAGTTGACATGAAATGTCAACCATTGACTGCAATGTGACATGTTATACTTCAATTTTAAATACTTCAACTTTTTTAAACAATAGTTAGTTAAAAGCCAATAATTTGACTGGACAAACAGCATTACAAGAGTGCTGATATTTCATAAAAATATCAGGGTGAAGTACTCAACATTCATTCATTTATAAGTTTGCAAGCTAAATAAAATAAAGGATCCAATTAATCACAATGATTTTCATTAGCTTGTTATTTGGCCAACAAGTTGGTACTGTAAGTTTGGTTTAGTTCTGTGAGTCAGTTCAAACTGTTCATCTTAATGAATCATTTCATGGAATGTAATACTACAGCACAAATATATTTTATAAATAGTTTAAAGTGAAACAACTACATAAAGTAGTCACAAACTGTCCCAGTTTCTCAGCACAATTTCTAAAATGTGAGAATAACATATTAATGTAATGTAAAATGCATGAGGGACAGAATGAGAAACATTGTGACACTCTATTGAAAGTGAGTCTCCCTCACCTACAGAACTTAAAAAGAATCTTCTCAAAAACTAGAACTGGCCCAGTGCTGCCCAGGATAGTGAGAGGCTGACCAGAAAACAGAGAGAAGGCCACACCGGTCAGTGAAGCTCCAAACAGAGACTCAATGGCACTCTAAAACAAACATAGACAAAAGAGATGTTATCAACAATGTGGGAGAGTTTCAAACTAAGAATAAACACATTCTGTGGAAGCAGAAATTATATCTTTTAAGGCATACGGAAGGAGTATGCTCAATAAACACTCTTGATTCCAGTGAATCTGAATCATATTCAGACTGGTTGTTCCACTCGAGAGAATAATCCTTCATTACTCTTTCCAGACAGAGCCAAGACTGCAAGTCTGACTCACTATGTTGTTTTTGGTGGCTTCCCCCAGAAGGCCTCCGAAGGTGATGACGGGGGACATGCAGGCACAATAGAGGAAAAGGATGGAGGCCAGGCACTGCAGGCTGAGAGCGTCTCGCACATCGCTCCAGTAAAACGGAGCTTTCCGCTTAACGTCTAACACCAGACCCCCAAATATCCTGTGATAAAGGAAGAAAATAAAAGGATAAAATTCAAAAAAATTCTACCACAAAAGCAATCACATTTGGAGTTAAAAAATTTACAGATGTTAACAAACTAATAATAATAATAATAATAATAATAATAATACACGCTGTTGTATATACACAAGGTATATACAGGAATCATGGAGTTAAATTTAATAAGACTCTTTCCATACATTTTAAGACCTCATCACCAATCCAAGTTTTAACCGGTTACATCGGCGACACTTTAACTTACATTTACTATATATTGATTGTAAGATAGCACAACTAAACAGACTTTCTTTGTGATAACTCCTTATCAATACAACATAATTCAGAAGTGGGGAACGAAGCACAAGAGAATTCATTGAGTTACTAACCAATGCAACCCAAGAAACAACAATTAAACCAATAAACAAAACAACTGACAAAACTTATTGAGGAGGGAAAATAAAGCTCTCAGAGCTAACAGGGCAATGAGTTCACACAGCATATTCAAAAGAGGTATTTGTCACACCAACTCTTATAACTGTCTGCAAACCATAGCTGTTTTGTGGAACACTTCTCATGACAAACATCTGACTGATCAGACAGTTTACCTGTGATTACGGAGTGCTTGATTTGATACAGACTTGACAGAGTGTCAGTACTGCAGCTGATCGTGTCTGAATGATCATGGAAGGTAAAATAATGATCACAACTGTTACATCATTTTAATTGTGCACCCCAAGCCCATGCCAGTAAAAAAAAAAAACAGCCCAAAGTAGCGCAATTACCATGTCCCAAATATAAAAATGTCATTTCCATCCATAAAATACATATTTTACAGTCACTATTATGCACATTTATCATAAACACAGCTCAAATGCTTCCTACTAGTGTGGCCGAAAATATTTAGCACAGTTTTATTACAGGTAGAATGCGAAATGTTTCAGTACAAGCATTTCAACCAAATGTAATTTATGCAATATTTCAAACCTTTAACCCACTGGGGAAAATCAACCCATGGCAACAGTTTAAAAGCAGCCCAATTTCGTGGAAAACAACAACAACCCTGCATCCAACACAAGCTGCAGAAGTCAGATTTGACTGATCACGGGTCAAAAGTAAGGAGAGATAACTGACAAAATGTTGGAGGATTTGCTCCTCAACAGATCCTAAGATCACTGACAAATATCTTTTATCGTAAGATGTGCTCCCTTTACACAGTGCGCGCGCGATCGCGCAATCGAAGTGAAAGTTAACTGCGACTGCGAGTGCTCATTCAAAAGGGATTTAAATACGGCACATATTGATAGCGGCACCCTGATGCGCGAAAATTATATACAATATTAGAATGTTTGCGCGAGCGGACACAAAAATCGCGGGAGTGGATGGGTGCATGCGGTAATGGTCAGAAATTCAGCGAGAGCAGGATCAACAAGCCCCGCGCTATCACGCAGCAGCGCAGTCAGTCTGTGAGCGCCGTAACAGATGACGTCAAATCTTGCGAGATTCCATAAATTTACATTTACACTTAGTTATTTAGCAGACGCTTTTATCCAAAGCGATTTACAAATGAGGACAATATATTTTTTCTAATATATATATATAGGCCCGGCGCCAGAGGTGGGGCCGGGGGGGCTTTGCCGGACTTTGGGACGGCCGGACTTTAGTTTCGCGTGTATAATAGTCTAACTCATAGTGTAAAATAGTCAAACTGATTGCTTTTAGATGGAAAAGCTGCCCATAACTCCTGGTCTAGTATCTGTTTTCTTCGTAATAATAGCATAACGAAATACATTTGTCAAACAATCCAGTGTATCTGCCCTTCTGTTTTGGAAAGCGTCAAATGATTTTACAAAGCATTTTTGCAGAGGGGAGCAAAGTAGCCAATCACAGACATGTTTGTTGATTTCTACAACGCAATGGCCAATCAGATGTGTTTAGGTTGGAATCCACGCACTCACCACTTTTTGTCCAGTGCTGAGTTCTATCATGCTCATAAACTTCATAAAAAAAAAAGTTTCATTGTGTGGTCACATTCATTGGTTAAAACGGAACTTTGTGAGATCGTGATGAATGAGTGACCGTTTTTAATAAATTTAAAGAGAGCGCTCTTTCCATGCTGTATACGATAATATATTCAGAATTTAAATAAAACGTGTGTTTTTCATGCTTGACAAGTGGCCACGTACGACACAGAGATAGCTAACTACTACACTATATAGAAAAAGATAATAGCCTAATTTCAGAAGCACAAAGTGATGTGATTCTGCAACCGAGCCTGGTCCAAACGCAGGATTTAGGTAAGGAAACGGTTATTAATTATTTGTATTGGCTGCCATGCCAAATCATGAACCAGCTTGCTTTTATGTTTAATTTAAGTGTTTTTGTGAATGTATATGCTTTAATAACAAATAATTGTAACATTTTACAATAAGGTTCCAATAACTAATGTTAGTTAATGTATTAAAGTGTATTAAAATGTTAGTTAATTATTGTAAAATGTTACCCAAATAATGTATTTTGAGCATTCATTTGAAACTAAGCGCAAGCCCCAGCCCCCCCCATATACATCGATATATATATATACAGTGGGTACGGAAAGTATTCAGACCCCCTTCAATTTTTCACTCTTTGTTATATTGCAGCCATTTGCTAAAATCATTTAAGTTAATTTTTTTTCCTCATTAATGTACACACAGCACCCCATATTGACAGAAAAACACAGAATTGTTGACATTTTTGCAGATTTATTAAAAAAGAAAAACTGAAATATCACATGGTCCTAAGTATTCAGACCCTTTGCTGTGACACTCATATATTTAACTCAGGTGCTGTCCATTTCTTCTGATCATCCTTGAGATGGTTCTACACCTTCATTTGAGTCCAGCTGTGTTTGATTATACTGATTGGACTTGATTAGGAAAGCCACACACCTGTCTATATAAGACCTTACAGCTCACAGAGCAAATGAGAATCATGAGGTCAAAGGAACTGCATGAAGAGCTCAGAGACAGAATTGTGGCAAGGCACAGATCTGACCAAGGTTACAAAAAAATTTCTGCTGCACTTAAGGTTCCTAAGAGCACAGTGGCCTCCATAATCCTTAAATGGAAGACATTTGGGACGACCAGAACCCTTCCTAGAGCTGGCCATCCGGCCAAACTGAGCTATCGGGGGAGAAGAGCCTTGGTGAACAAAGAAAAACAAGTAGATAGAATAGAAAAAATAGAAAGCTAATGTTTTTTTTTTTTTATAAAAAATAAGATAAATAGATAAAGTAGAATTAAAATAAAATAGAAAGTGCTAGAGTTAGAGTGTCAAATAAAGATGGAACAGATGTGTTTTTAGTAGTATTTTTTGAAGATGGCTAAGGACTCAGCTGCTCGGATTGAGTTGGAACTACACAGAACCCCACTATTCGGACAAATATACATAATGAAAAGATGATACAAAATGTAATATACCTTGGAAAATGGCATTTAAGATTTTTTAATCCTTTTTAAGGGCCTTAATTTTCTCTAAATTGATTTATCAACTTTTAATACTTTTTAAGACCCCGCGGACACCCTGATATATTTTGTATTTATACATATACACTAATTTCTAATAAATAGAAATTATGACTGACTGTTGGGTATAACAGTGAAGTTAACCATGTAAAATACCACCATTAATGGAAATAAAATTAGTAAATGCATTTGGAAATGATATTATAAGGGCTTCTCATTTTGTCCTAATGGGGTGTGCAGTATTTTCAGAGCGCTCTGGGGCTCTTAAAACACGTCTTAATGGACGGCTCTCTTACATAACTGTCTCCAGCCGGCCATTTTAAGCTGCACATCAAAGGATGGGCGCCACTGTTAAATATACCGCCTTTATTCAATACCTCCGACATGAAAGGCTTACAAAATTTGTACCATGAAAACATTTTTACCCCCTCCATTTAATGCCTGTTTAATAAGGTCCTCCTTCATCAAGAGACTTAAGTAAATCCAACACCACCCCCTTCTGTCTCTCTCCCTAACACTTTGTTCAGCAGGGTTCAGGTTTGACACACATTTATACATGTCCTCAATGTCCAGACACCTTACTGGCTTAATGTAAGAGAACAACACCTCCAAGTATGTCATGTATATAACCCCATCAGCCATATTTAGGGCATGATATACAATAGAGTCTCTCTGTGCTTTGCACCTCATATGGATCCAAACTTCTACCGGTACCTGCTTTAAATATAGACAAACTCAACTATAATATGGCTGATGTATGCAAAAAACAAAACAAAACAAAACGTATGCAGTATATAAATGGTGGAGGTTTGACTAGCTCTGACCTTCCTGTCCTCTGGAGTTCAGGTCCAGTGTGGTCTTCCTCTTCTTTGATCATCTCTGATAGTGGAGAAGAGCCATTAGGCATGGAAGGCATCTTCCTCTTCTCCTGCACACATAAAAAAAGACAACAACAGCCCCGTTAACCCTGTCGCTCATAGCTGGCTTCTTTCAGAGACTGAAACAGCAAACTTCTGGTTACACTACTCCACAACAGCTCTAACACCATATCTCTGAGGTAGGGATGTAACGATTAACCGCGAGCCGGTTGAAAATCGATTTAAATATGTGACGATTCAAATCGGTTGAGATGCTAAACAAATCGCGATTTATTTAGGGGTAGGAGTTTATATGAATGTATGTCTGAGGGGAACTTACTGTCTTTAGAAAAGTTTAGATGGTATTTTTTCTTTTCATCTTGCCTCTGTATAATGCATATCAAAGTTCATAAGTGCAGCGTTGCTTTGTTTACAGCGGAAACTAAGAAAACGCTTTAAGCGCCGCCTGCTGGCAGAGAGTGAATCTGCGTCTCATTCAGCTCGTCTGCTGTTTCTGTTTCTGTTTCATGCAGATATTTTTATGTATAGTTTCACAAAACTGAAGTCAATCCATTCTGTTTTGCTTCAAATTTCGAAATTATACAGTCCAGTTTAGATTAAAAACGGCTCATGTTGCATGTATGCAGCATCTTTGTTTGAATCATGATTAAAATGCAGTGGTTGCCTCTAATTTTAAATGGAAAGAGCACAGACAAAGCCTTATTTTGTTTATATGAAGAGATTTATTTGATTTGTGTTACGTATGTATTTGATTTGGGGCTTGTTTTAAAATTTCTATTTAGTTTTGTTATTTACATTATATTTAAAGTTTGTTATTTAGCAGACGCTTTTATCCAAAGCGACTTACAAATGAGGACAATAGAAGCAATCAAAACCAACAAAAGAGAAATAATATGCAAGTGCTATATTAGTATATTATTATAGTGTTATATTTCAATTTCACAAAGAAATGTGCAGCATTTTGTCCAAGCAATAATAAAAGGACACATTTAATTAATGATGTCTTAAATCTCATTTTGTTAAAAAAAATCAATTGTGAATCGAATCGTGAAATCAAAATCGTGAATCGAATTGAATCGTGAGTTGAGTGAATCGTTACATCCCTACTCTGAGGCGATGATTACCTGAGATGGGACGCTCTTTGGCGGCTCGATTCGTATCGTGGGGTCCCATTCTCCTGGAGGCAGCACTGTCACCTGGTCCAAGAACTCATCTATGCCAGACAGAAGGTCATTTCTGTCTTTGGCTTTGTATGCTACATCATGAAAGATCTGGCATTGTGTTAGAGAAAATGTGGAAATGTGATTATGAAGAACTAAATGGAACTGTTGCAACATTAAAATGATGATTAGGAGTAAAGACAAGCCGAGTTTCCTTCCTATTGTAATATATTTTGAAATGTAATATATTCTTGTGATGGCAAAGCTGAAATCTTCAGCAGTGATTACTTCCAGTCTTTAGTGTCACATGATCCTTCAGAAATCATTCTAATATGCTGATTTGGTGCTCAAGTAACATTTCCTACTATTATCAATGTTGACCGTTATCTGTGTAAACTAATCATTTTGAAGGATTCTTTGATGAAAGTTCAAAAGATCAGCTTTTATTTAAACTGAATTTTGTAACATTATAAATGGTATTGCTTTCACTATTGGTCAATTTAATGTATATTTGATAAATAATTGTAATAATTTCTTCCTCCGACCTCAAACTTTTGAACAAAATTGTACATCCTAAATGCTATAAAACGCTACTGAAGGCTTAAAAATATGGTTAAAGCATCTGGTTAGAGTTTATTTTGATCTCTATGGACCTTTTGTCAGGGTAGATGCCGTGAATGAAAACAAGGCTGTGAGGTACAAAAAAGTCATGTTCAATATGCTGAAGTGTCATGTAACTTGTCGTCACTGTTCAACTAACAAAAGAATGAAAATATCTTATATATATATATAATAATTATATATAATAAGACGCAAGACGTCCAAGACGCAAGAAGCAACTTTATCTCTGACAGCACTGCTTTCATTCATATCAAATTACATTATTACTTACATTTATGCAATCGACAGATGCTTTTTTTTTCCCCATTGCATTCAATGTATACATCTTTTTAGTTTATGCATTCTTTGGTAATTACTTATTTAAAGTGGATGCCTCACCTCATCTGTCATTAAAGTAGCTATTGACCTGCCAATTTCATGGTATTGGCCCCCTTTACCGAAAGGTCCCAACAACAAGAAGAGAAATCTGTAAAAAAAAAAAAAAAAAAAAAAGTGGAGGAAATAAAATTTCAGGAAAAAGTTGCATAAAAGGCTTCACATACAATGCCAGCCATAAGAGACCTACTGAAGCTATTCATGATCGTTTATGTAAAAGCAAGCCATGTTTTCAGGGGTGCTTGAGTGCTACCTTGTTGGAACGGGCACTTCAGTCAGTCCAGTGAGAAGAATAGCAGGTGAGAGACGGATAAAAGCAATGATTGGATGCTCAAGGAAATCAACCTCCCCCACCAAAACATTTGAAGCCTCAGCGCCCGGAGGAATTTTCTTCATGAAATTCATGTCCACCTTAAGAGCATGGATAAGAAGATGATCAGGTGCGTAGTGCTGGTCTTAGACATTCATGTGTTTATGAACCTCAAGAATGGTGTATTGGCTTACTGGGATTATGTAGTTACAAAAGTTACAAAACCTGGAAATCAAACCTGTCTATTGGCAAATCTGGTCATTTCTGGTAATCATGATGAATTAAAACAGGTTTCAAGACTGCAGGAACTAAATTTATGCAAAACTCTGGTTAAGCCAGTTTAACATGGTGATCAACGAACTTCACATGAACTATGAAAAACACAAATATAAATTATGAGAAACAATTCTATGAAAAACCATTGACAATGAACAAAAACAACAATTGCACAACCACATAATACAACAAACCACTGACACATGAAAGAGAAGTGATATTTCACAATCCACAGGACAGCAGAATCTAGACTAGTTCGGTCTGGAGAAATGTTTTTCCTCTTAGCGCGTCACGTTTTTCTAACCAGGATCAGGCTTCATGGGAAGATGTCACTTAACTCCTAACAAAACAGGACATCATCTGAAGTTCAGGATCAATTGCAGAATCAAAACAAACGATCAAATTAAAAGCAGGTAAACAACAATGTCCATCTTCTTCCAGTGAGTTTATTCATCCAGAACCAGGTAGACATTTGTTAGAAAACAGAAAAAAAAATTCAGTCTAGAGTTTCTGTTTTATTTTGAAAAAAAACAAAAAAAACAAGCATAAGACTGTGAGAATTCGTTTAAGCCAATACTTCACTATGTTTCAACAGAAACAAGTTATTTGCTAACCTTATGTTACCCTAATGGCTACAATAGATACAATACAGCATCAGATTTAGATACACTGTGAAGTACTGCAATATCGAAAAAGAAGCATTGTTCCTTCTCGCAAGACACTTCAAACGTCATTTAATCACGACACTCAATACAGTCATCAAAACATGGTTAACCACTCAAGAAGACATCACAGAAGACCAGAGTCACAAACACAACCTCATGTAGCACTCAATGACGACACACTGGAAGACAGGTTATAAGCAATAACAGTGTTGAGACTTACTGCAGGCTTTTGCCGCCCCCTCCCAGAGAGCCGCAACTACAGTGAAAAGGGGATTGGCTGTCCTGATACCAACCAGACAGACACGGAGAGCGCTCATCTTGCCATGAGACTTTTATGGTGAGAAAAATCTCATACCAGTATGCTAGTACAATGCTAAGGTTTTGCACCAAAAACAGTCATAATCTCCCATTTAAATTTAAACTCCATCCTTTACTTACAATCTGCTTGCAAATCCTGAATTACATTATGACGTGTTTACAAAATGGTGGTGAAAAGAATGCTTCCAAAACAGTTTTAACGATTTTGTGATAATTATCTATATTTTAAACCTGATTACTTACATTATGGTCTATATTAATTATACATTTTCTTAAACAAAAACAAAACCTAGGGCTGAACAATTTTCGGGAAAAAAAACTCAAGGTTTGTGGAAATGCACAATTGGGCAAAAACAAAATCATATTACGAGTACATATATCAATATGACTATAAAATAATATTGATAATAAAAATAGTAGACATCATTATTCTTATAATTTTTGTTATTCTTG